AAGACAGGAGTAATGATGCTGAAAATTCAGCTTTGCCATCACACAAATAAATTACATTTTAAAATATATTGAAATATAAATTTAGTTTTTTAATTGCAAAAAATATTTCAGAATGTTACTGTTCTTTATTTTTGATCAAATAAATTCTGCCTTGGTGAGCATAGGAGAATTCTTTCAAAAACATAAAATTTCAGACCCCAAGCTTTTGAATAGTTGTGTATATTGATATTTTGATAAATTGCTCATATAATTTGCAATAGGCTATGTTTTGAACCGTAATTGAATCAAAACTGTTTACATTTTATGATAATAACTGAAAATTAACTAATATTTCTCATCCATCCCTCCAGACTAGAAGGGTTGTGTTTGTCTGGGGTTTTCTTGTCTCAGTGACGCAGATTTGCCAGCAGGTTTCCTCACGTGACACAAGATGTCATTTTATTTGTCCTCCTACAAGCACCTCTGGGCTTTGAGGAAACTCCTTTTCCAGCACATTAGTGTCCGTGTCACTGAAGAGCAGGGGGGTGGGGTGAAGAGGGAGTGAGTTTGGATGTGGGTTATTTTCAGCCTGTTACGTAAGGACTCTAGCTGCTGGGTGTTTTCTCATACACTCATCACCGATGATAGAGGCAGGAGACGAGGCAAGAAGGCCAGTGATGAAGCAGGAGATGAGGTGGAATACAAGGCAGGAAGGTTGAGTATGAGGCAGGGAGGGAGTCAGGAGATAAGGGCTGGAGATCGGTTTCCCATTTTCGAGTCACAAAGCTCTCATGGCAAGTTGATTTAATTCTGATTTGGTTTGATTCAGATTCATTTGGTTAAATTTTAAGTTTTTTTTTTTTTTTTTTTTTTTTTACATATTTTTACAGGTTTCAGACCAGTAACTTGTCTTTTTGAACTATTTTTTAAAAGAACTGGCTCAGAAGAATTATTTGTTTCAGGAATCGGGCTCCATGTCATGCTGTATGTTATTGATTCAAGTCATTTGTTCATGAATCAAACTGCACCAGTCACACTATATGTGTTTGATTCACTAAAAAAGACCAGCTCATAAAATGATTTGTCCCTGAATCAGGACACATAGGTCATGCTGTTTTTGATTCGGTAAAAAGAAAGACTCACACGATTCATTTGTTTGAGAATTGAGTCACACGTTGCATTGTATGTTTTTAATTCGCAAAAAGAACCAGCTCTTTAGAGTAATTAGTTAGTGAATTCTTTAGATGTCACACTCAATTTTTTTTTGATTTGCCTAAAAAGAACCAGTTCTTAAGAGTCAGTTGTTCATGATTCAGACTGATTTCAGTTTTTGTTTTTGATTAATTAAAAAGAACTGGCACATAAGAGTCGTTTCTTTGGGAATCAGACTTCACTGTTCGTGCAATGTGTTTTGATTCACTAAAAAAAGAAAGAGCTCATGAGAGTCATTTGTTTAAGAATAGGACTACACTGGTAATGTTTTATGTGTTTGATTCACTAAAAAAGCTGCACTGGTAGTCATGTCAGTCCTTCAAGAGATGAGTGAGAGTAGAAGTAGTAGTGCTGATGGTGGGTGGAAGCCAGGACCAGGGGTCGTGCCCTTCCTTAGTCATGTTCTCTATCACAGTCTCCTTATGTGCTTGGCACGATTCCTTAAACAGGAGTCATCTCTCTCACTCACGTTTATTCTGTCGCCACTAGTGACAGCTTGACTTATCTCTCCCAGATACAGTGGGTATAGAAAAGAATCACCCCCCTTTAAAATAATCACATTTTGTTGTTTTGCAGCATGAAATGAAGATGGACACAGTTTTAGTTTTATCCAGTTGTATTTACTCAGTGCAACTTATAACAGATATAACACCAACATGTCAGGAAAAAAAAACTTTAAAATCAAAAACCTGAATAACTGAGTTGGAAAAAGGATCACCCCCTCGTGTCAGTACTTTGTTGAACCACCTTTTGCTTTAATTACAGGCTTTAGTCTGTTGGGATATGCCTCTACTAACTTTGCAAATTTAGATTTTGCAATATTTGCCCACTCTTGCAGAACTGCTCGAGTTCAGTTAAATTTGATGGGGACTGTTTGTGGACTGCAGTCTTCAAGTCATTCCACAGATTTTCAATGGGGTTTAAGTCTGGGCTCTGATTAGGCCATGCAAGGACATTCAGCTTTTTCTCCTTCAACCACTGCCTGGTCGGTTTTGCTGTGTGCTTTGGGTCATTGTCATGTTGAAAGGTAAACATTCTTGCAATTTACAACTTTCTGGCAGAGGGCAGCAGATTTTCCTCAAGAATTTGTTGATATTTTGCCCCATCCATTTTTCCTTAACAGGATATTACCACCTCCATGCTTTACTGTAGGAATGCTGTTATTTGGATGGTGAGCTGTATTGGATTTCCGCCAGAGATATTGTTTGATGTTTAGGCCAAATAATTCAGTCTCATTCAGTTTTAGTCTCATCTGCCTCAGAATCTTCAAAGTGCGTTTTGGCAAAGCTCAGTCGTGACTGCATGTGGTCTTTCCTGAGGAGTGGCTTTTTTCTTGCAACCGTCCTATTAGAGCCACATTTGTGGAGAATTTGTGATATTGTTGTCACATGCACACAATGACCACTCTTTGTCATAAATTCCTGCAGCTGCTTCAGAGTTGCTGTAGGCCTCTTGGTAGCCTCTCTGACCAGTTTCCTTCTGGCTCTTTCATCCAGTTTGGAGCGACGTCCTGATCCAGGGAGGGTCTGTGTTGTACCAAATACCTTCCATTTCTTAATAATAGATTTCCCTGTGCTTCTAGGCATTGATAAAGCCTTGGAATTTTTTTTATATCCATCTCCTGACTTGTGCCTGTCCACAACTTTATCCCGGAGATCTTTTGACAGTGCCTTGCCACCCATAGTTGATTGTTTGCTCCAGTTGCACTACCAAGGACTGAAATGCTCCAGGAAAGTCTTTCCATGCGGAGCTAATCAAAAAGACCATAGCTGATCACATTTGAAAGTTAAACGACTTTGTGCGCCATTGAGAAGGTGATTAGCTACACCTGATCGAGTTTACAAGTCATTTTTAGGAGGGGTGATCCTTTTCCAACTTAGTGATTCTGTTTTTTTTTTTTTTTTCTGACATGTTGGTGTTAACTTGGATGTTATAAGTTGCACTGAGTAAATACAGCTGGATAAAACAAAACAAAAACTGTGTCGGTCTTCATTTCAGGCTGCAAAGCAACAAAATGTGATTATTTTAAAAGGGGGTGATTCTTTTCTATACCTACTATATATGACAAATACTTCAATTATACATGATAATACTATATATATTTATTCATGAAGTCAGTCAGAAACAAACTGATTTATGGTGAAATAGAGCTATAAATGAACTGTTTCTCTCTACTGGAATGAATTGAAATACACCACTCTATCTAGTTATGATATTAATGTATCATATCAGTCAGATACAAACTCAGGGTCTGCGTAAAACTTTATTACATTGAAAACCATCTATGCTGAACTAAAGCTAAGCTAAAAGCCTCGGACTGTGTCGTCCTTGATCACAGTGGACATTTCTGTTAGGGCCATTTTAGGTGTTTTATGGTGGAGGAGAAATAGTGTTGCCTCATTGGCATTCTCCTCATTCTCTGTGTCGAAATTACACACGGCCGGTTATTTCTCTCCGAATGGCTCGATTGGAGCACTGGATATAATGGAAGGAAACTTGTGACACTTTGAGCTTTTAGTGAAAGGCTCACCCATTGGCATCTGCCGTTTGAAATCATACAAAAAAGGTAAATGACATTTATTTACTCAACATTAGACCGGACAAACTGCAGGGATATCATATTGGTAATATGTGGTGGCCAAGGGCACTGAATGTGAAAGAGACATTTCAGAAGCGAGCTGAGGGGAATGAGAAAGAGGCCACAGACAGCTGAGAATTTATGATCGGAAGGGGAGGGTGAACGGTGATAGAGAAGCCCAGCGCACTCACCAACTGGAAGTAATAGGGAGTGTAATTAAGGAAAGGATGAAAAAGCTCTCCTCTGTGTCTCTTGCGTTCCATCCGTCTCTTTCTCAGAGACATATGCACGTTTTCCTCAAAATCACTTCCTGTCTGCCTCCCACCCTCTTGCTTTTAATCATAAACAAGTGTGCCAGGGCTCTTTATCAAAGCCAGGTAGGACTGAAATCCTGCTGGAAATTCTGGTTCAAACATGATAGCTGGTTTAAAGCTGGTCCAAGTTGGTCATTAGCTGCGTATACTGTAGGTTGTTCAAGTTGGTCATTGGCTGGTCAATGGCCAACTCGAATTGGCTGGTTATTTGCTGTTTAATATAGATTGGCCAGCCTGCAACTAACTGCAACAAACCAGTTACCCTTTGGGTTTATAGGTGGTTCAAGTTGGTCAAGTTGGTTGTGCTCTGTCTAATATAGATTGATCAGCCAATGACCAACTTGAAACAGCTATACATTTTTGGAATAAGATAGCTGGTTTAAAGTTGGTCATTAGCTGCAACAAACCAGTTACCAGTTGGTTTATAGGTGGTTCAGTTTGGTCATTGGTTGGTCAAGCTGGTTATGCTCTCAACTTGAACCAGATGTAAATTTTTGGACCATGATAGCTAGTTTGAAGCTGGTCCAAGTAGGTCATCAGCTGCAACAAATAAGTTTCTAACTGGTTTATAGTTGGTTCAAGTTGGTAATTTTTACACAGCGAATGACCCGTTTGGACCAGTTATACACCAGTTTTCCATTCTCCAAACAGCTTAAGCTGGAGTTTCTCATTTTGCATTGTGATTCCTCCTCATCTTCCCAAACCCAGAGAATCACTCAGCCCCTCCAGACGTCACCACCTACACCTCCGAACATCCCGTTCAGGTGGAGAGGCCACAGGTGTCCACGGTACCCCGGACCACACCCAAATATGGCAACGCCGAACTCATGGAGACTGGAGATGGTGAGGGCACGAGAATGTGTGTGAAAGAAAACGAGTGATGTTTTAGAGACATTAATGACGTTTTCATTTAAAAAATCACAATGAGCTTTGAAAGATTTACATTAACCATTTTCCTCAATCATTTTGACAGCCCATCTAGCATTTCTCTTCCACCCTAACTTTATTTATTTTGGCAGATGGTTTTATACAGAGCAACTTGCATATAGTCCCCCTGCAGCAGCCTGGGGTTAAGGACACAATGGTAGTAGCTGGTATAAATAGGGCCTTTCGCACCGCTTTAGTTCCAGAGTCCGGTACTAAAATCGCTCCCAGTTCCGGCGGTGCGAAAACGCCAAAAAGTGGGTAGTTCCACAATTAATTCTGGTACTATGAAAAGGTTCCTGCGGTGCGAAAGGCCCTATAGTTGCAAGAGTATTGGTTATTGTTAGTTCATGATATGTAAAGCATTACAGTATGTACACCTAAAATTTTGTGTTGTTATAATGTTCAGAATATTTTAATACATTAACTAAAACTAAAACTACTAAACTATAAATTGTTTTTTTGTCATTGATGTATTATATTAATATAATAATAATAATAAAAATTGAATAAAATAAAATATAAATATTAAATGAAACACTTAAAAAAATAAAATGTTAAATGTTGCCTTGGCAGCTAACTGCAATAAATAAGTTTAAGTGCTAAAATGACTAAAACTAAAACTGGGGAAAAAATTAAAGCTGAAAATAAATATTTAAAGAAAAAGGAAAAAACGAATAGAAATTTTAAAAGCATACAACAACATTATTAAAAACTAAAATTAAATTAAAAAACTGAAATATAAAAGACACTTATTCAATAATTCTATAATAGTATGTAAATAATACAAAAGCAACACTAGTTATTTAATCCATGTATGTTATCTACTTACTTATGCTTTATATATGGTGTTGTAATGGTTGATGTAGTTGTAAGTTGTATGTAAGCCCTGGAGATGATGGACAGTCTGTGAAATCTGCTCTGATTTGATCCTCTGTTATGAAGCTGTGATTGAGGACATTGATCCCACTCTTATATTATTACTCTTTAATTTGATCTCTCGGGGACGCCTCTGAAGGCCGCATTTGACTGTATCTGTCAGATTCATTAATCAATAATGTTTGTAAAATTGATTTGTTTGGGGTAAGATGAAAATTGAGGTGTTGCATACGGAAGTAAACACAACAGCGGGGAGTTGAACATCTTCATTGTGCACATTCAGCCATCCATCTAATCTGTTTATGGCCAGTCCTTTAAACACAGACAGCCTTGTGTGTGTGTTTATAGGCTCGTTCAGGAAATTTGATTCATGTTTGAATGATAATATTTGTTTTTTTCCAGGTTTGTGTGTATTGCTGTGCATTAACACGTGTGTGTCTTCCTTAGGAGTCCCAGTTAGCAGTCGTGTTTCAGCTAAAATCCAGCAACTTGTAAACACGTTAAAGCAGCCCAGGCGACCTCCACTTCGAGAGTTTTTTGTTGATGATTTTGAAGAGCTCCTAGAAGGTAAGTGTTTGTCTCAGCATGAGTTTTTTTGAGCTTTTCAGAGCTATTCTTATAAACAAACACATACAGACATACACAATACCTGATTTGCAAACAAACCATTCTTTTGAATGGGTTCTTTTGAATGATTTGGTTGAATCGATCAATCAATTGAATCAACTAAGTGGTCAGCAATGAATTAAATCAGAATTTAATTAAATATGTCTTGACCACCAAAACAGCAGTGATGAGTGATGATTAGTGTTAATTTTGTCAGCTATTTTCATTTTAGTCTTAGTCCCGGGCTAAAATGTCCTTGTTAGTTTTTATCATATTTAGTCAAACTTATCCTATTTAGTTTTAGTCAAGTTTTAGTCGACTAAAAGTCTCAACATTTATGCAATCTCTCTGTCTTCATCATGAAAACAGCTAAAACAAACGAAAAATATTATAACAGTGAAATTCCTAGTAATTCCACTAATTCCATAATTGCAATAGTCTATTTCTCTATTAAAACAACAGCGATTGAGTAAGTACATTTATTTAGCGATCACAATCGCAAACAATACAGTCTAGATCTCATGACAGAACACTGACCGGCTGAATGACGCTTTCATTTAGTTCGCTAAACTCCAGCTTGTTTGTTTTTCAGATCATCACTTCCGCAATGAGGAGCGAGCGTGTGCGCATGGTTGCCAGATTGCTTAAAATAAGCAAAACACAGGGCGCAGAAAATGTATGAATTTAACAGCGAAGCTTTGATTCGGGGATTAGAACTCTTGATATCTGGCAACCGCACTCATGAAAGCTCGCGTAGTAGAGGCGTGTAGAGCAGTCTGCAATAACATTTTGTCTCCTTTTTTGACGAAAATAAAAAGAGGTTTTTGGTAAAGTTTTTATCTTTTTGAATACATTTTAGTCTCGTCTTATTTCGTCAACGAAATTGCATGTTGATATAGTCTTAGTTATCGTTTATTGACCTTATTGTCGTCTCGTCTTCGTCTCGTCTTAGTCATGGGAAAAAAGCTCGTCAACCAACATTTTTCGTCATAGTCTTCGTTAACAAAATTAACACGATGATGATGATTCAAATGAACCAGTGATTCAACAATTTTAACAAAAACAGCTATACAGATGATTTTTTTGCCCCCTAAATGTCCATGTTTTGCCTCTTCTGTCTTCAGTCCAGCAGCCCGACCCCAACCAGCCACGGCCGGAGGGCGCTCAGATGGTCACCATTCGAGGGGAACCGCTGGGAGTGGTCACTAATTGGCCACCATCTTTAGAAGCTGCACTGCAACGCTGGGGGACCATCTCGCCCAAAGCGCCCTGCCTGACCACCATGGACACCAACGGCAAACCCCTCTACGTCCTTACTTACGGTAAAATAACCATATTTAACTACAGCCATACACATAATGACCAACATCCACATGCAACCATACTGGAACAGAATAAAATATTATCTCCCTCACAAGGTTATTATAGTTTTGCATTTTTAAATTCGTTTTATTTGAATATCGTTTTCAAATTTGCAATAAAATTTAGTTTCGTTTTTATTAGTTTCATTAATAATTTTGTTAGTTTTAGTTTAGTTTTTATTTTGTGAACACATTTCTATTTAGTTTTTATATAGTTTACGTTCAGTTTTAGTTTTAGTAATTAAAGTTTATTAGATTTAACAGATCACTTCTAGAGTGCAGGCCAAAGAAAGGCTAATTTAACCTTAATGATGCAAACGTCTAGCGACACAAAATTAAAGCATGCTGAGATTGATTAAATGGTAAAATACAAATACACACCAAAATGAAGCAGTCATGCCTTTTTAAATCTACACAAGTTGCGCTTACATTATATGTAAAACGCACTAGACTGAATGATACATGTATGTTGTGATATTTAATTTGAAAATAAATGTAGCTAATTTCTTTATATTATAGCCTGTCTTTCATCTTATTTAACTATAATCATGATACCGTAACTGTCGTGTCTTGCTCACTTTCCCGCGAACAA